TCCTTTAATTGCAAAATTACCAAACACATTTTTGGATAGCAACCTTTCTTTTAAACATATTTCATTGAATATGATGGATAAAGAAAATTTATATATATATATATATATATATATGTATATATATATATATATATTTTGGGAAGAGTTTGTCATACAGAACAAAAACCATTTCATTTTTCAATTTGGGCTGCAAGCCTATTGGACCTAGAGGAAAATTTTAATGTAAAATAAAATTTGTTACTCGAGATAAGAGAGTGCTCTACCTCTTCCTGTTATTGAGGAATGTTTTTATTTATAACCATTTAGTATAAGACTATAATTTACATTTTATTATTAATGTCAGAACAAGAAAAATATTTGTTTGCTTTGAAGAAAAAATTCATCAGATAATCTCCAGTCAAATATGTTGTCTATTTTTCTTAGTATTTTTTCATTGGAAACTTACAAAGAAATTTTTTTTTTTATATCTACTAATTAAAAAATATATATAATCTATGCTGTTACTAGAAACATATGCACCCTCCATAACTAGTGTTGATGAGAATGAACCTTGAAACAAATTGGCAGGAAAGATTGTAAAATAGTTATTTCTTAGGGATATATTTCATTTGTTTCACCTTGATATTAAGTTATATAGAAATACTTTTCAGATTGATGGAATCATTTTATTGCCATTATAACCAGCTGCTGTGATTATATTTTGCAACAATATGAATATTTTGTTCTGAAGAAGCCCATGTTTTTAATAAACTAGTTATAATGCATATAGACATTGTTTTTGGAAAGAGCAGGTGGTTTTGATTCATTTCAGTAGAGACAGCGAATATAATCATCATCATTGCAAAATATTTTGTACATCTCTAATTCTTTGAAAGCAGTTTCTTTTTCTTTTTTTCAAAGTGGCATTTCTTTAGGCTTTAGAAATACATTTTAATGAAAGAAAAAGTTCTTGTGTGGAAAGGTTTTGCTCAACTATTTTTCTTATTTTCAAAATTATAAGCTTACAATTATATTTAGAAGTATTCTTGTTTTAACTATGCTTATTTAAAAAGTTTTTGTAAAAACTGAAAATTGTTAAAGATTCAGTTGCCTACTATTGCATACACTAACCTGCACTTGCTTCAAAGTTTTAAAATCCCGTATGAAATTGCCATTTGCAATTTATTATTAATGGTCATTTTCAGTGAGTCATTTGGTTCACTTAATATGAATAAATGACTTTTTGAATTGTCATAATGGTTCTTGGGAACGTTAGTGGATAGTAGAGTGAGTTCTCATTGCCTTTGCCTCAGTTTTGAATTCCTAAGTTGTCCTTTACCTAGATTGGCCGTCTTACCAAGGTTGGTTTAATTTATCCTGCTATTTTCAAAGTTTAAAAGAGGGATTCACACCTTTTCCAATAGCATTGGTGCAAAGTCTTTCCTAGAATGTGAACTCTGCCTGTTTATTCCATTTTCTACACTTGGGTACCTTCATGAGATCGCTAAAAACAGAGCATAGCAGGATGAAAAAGACACCAAACTTGATGAAAACAAAATTTTAGCATCTAAATTATGTTATTAAGAAGAAAGATCAAAGTATTTGGGGGATATTTTTTTTTACATTTTTTAATTGTCCGAAATTTTGAGTCAGCAAAATTGTCCAGTTTTTCCTTTTAATAAAAAAACTGGAAATCTCACTTTGAAATTCTTTTAAATATCAATTACCATTTTTTCAAAATTTAAAAAAAATCAGAAATTATAATGTTTATTTAAAATATTTTGAACAAAGCTTAACTTAGCTTCTGCGCCGAAAAGATGTAATTTGAAAATAAAACAAAACAGGTCATAAACTTTTGTGTCACTTTACAGGTGATGAATGACATATTGACAGATTCCGTGAGGCTAATTTCTTCTACGGAAGGAGAAAAGTGAAATAATTTACATTTAAGTGAACAAATTATTTACCTTGTTATTTTTAAGGAAAACTTTCAGCACTCTAATTATTTTTTTTTTTTTTGTACTTAGCTTTCACCTTTATGTTTACGATGCTTTATGGAAAATATATTATAAAGAAATTAAAATAAGAGTGAGATTAAATTTCATATTTCATAAGAAAGGTATCTAATTAACTTATAGGTACCTTTCTTATGAAATTTTATCAGAAGTGTACATAAAATACTATAATTTTATGTACATTTATTACATTTGACTGTATTATTTGTATTTCCATTCATTTTATTTTTAATTTTGATATTTCATTTATGGAAAAATGTCATAACTGAGATTAATATAAAAATACGATCATATAAATTTCATAAGATGATACTGATACTTGTAGGTACCCTTCTCAGTTGAAATTGAAAAATCAAATTAACTTTGCACGTGTTTCGCAAAAATAAATGTTTTTTTCTCAAAAGGACATTTACGAAACTGAATGTGGCTTTTAACTAATTTTATAATATTTTAACAACTTAAATATAAAAATCTACTATAATTAAAGAAATAACAAATAATTGTATTAAAAATTCAATATTTAAGTTAAATACTAGACAGAAACTCAATCCAAGTTTTTTTTTTTTATTGCACACATGATACTTCCGGTCTTCCGTAGATTTGATTTAGTGTTATTATTGACATAAATTATATTTTTTTTATATACTGTTGTTCGTTAGTTTGTAAAAGCTTTGGAAATTATAATCTGTAAATATATGTCTACTTAATAACAACATTCATTAAATTTTACAAATTTTTCCCTAAATTTAGAAGAATTAACATTTAATATAAAAATAAGATATTTTAGAAATAACAAATAATTGTTTTAAAAATTCATTTTTCATCAAAATATCTTTTTGCTTTCAGACAATATTGTCCATGTTCATTGAAATAAATAAAAGCAATTAAAAGCTTTGGAAATTAAATAATATTTTTGTTTTATTGAGTTTTGTATGTTACAATTCAGAGTTGCTTTTCAGGTAGAGGTGGTTCAACTAAAAAAAAAAACCTGATTTGGTTTCCTCAAAGCCTTGTGCTTTTAACTAATATAATCACTAATCTTCCCAAAATTGAAATTATAGAGTTTTCGTACAATTAGTTAGGAGGTGGGTAATACATATGAAAAAAAATATTTCTGCCATGACTTTAATAAAAAAAAAACAAAAAAAAACATATAATAAGTTCAATCATTTGTGAATAGTTTCTGAAAGTTTCATTAAAATCCGACAATTATATTTATTTTTGCAAGATTTTCCAAATTAATGTGTGATACAAAAAAAAAACGTGCTAAAATTTTATGTTATTTTACTAGTTTCGGTGACACAAAGAGAAAAGGTTTTTTAATCAAAATTTAGAATGTTCTAAAAAGAAGGAAAAAATTTTAAAAATAATTAAAATAAACTTTGATCTTTCCTCTCAATAATAACATAAGCATTTAGACGCTAAAATTTTGTTTTCATCAAGTTTGATGTCTTTTTCATCCTGCTATGCTCTGTTTTTAGCAATCTCATGAAGGTACCTATCTACACTGATAACCATTCTGCCACCTGCACATCCAGAATTCAATTCTACTAGAACTGTTGTGCATGTCTTTTATAGCCTTCCAGGAAATGGAATTTTCTTTTTCTTTTTATAAAATTCTCTGAAAAGTTGAAATAAATGTTAATTGGTGCAATATCTTCTAAGTATAGCAGGCAAATGAAAATTCCCCAGCCAAGCAATAACAATTTTTACCTTGTCACAAAAGACTTTACAGTTTAACATTATCCTGATGGAATATCATGCTCTTTATCTTAATTAATCTTGGCTACCTTTTGCAGATTACTGGTTTCATTTGATCTAATTGGGAGTACTACCTATTCAAATGTATCCTTTGATTCTGTAGAAAATGACTCTTTCTAATTCTGCCATATAAATAGCACTGCCTTTGACTGAAAACCAGCTTTTAATATGGTTACTAGTATTTCATAATCTCTTGTATTCACTTTGTTGTAAAGTATCTATTTTTCATTGTTCATTAGTTTGTTTAAAAAAAATGCACATAGACATATTGTACAGAAGTGTTTTTCAATTGATAGAAATCACACATCAAAGCGACTAACATATCAAATCTGGTGCAAATGATTTCGAGTTCCTGAATATGTGAGCGATCTCTCATGTCATATAATTATTTTCAAGTAATGTCTTTATTTGATCACTATTAACTGCACTCAGTTGCTTTACCCAACCATGAAGATTCATTCAGCAAAAAAATCTTCATGAAATTTCACAAGCCACTTTTGATGTTTGTTCATTCAGATAGCATTTCCATTAGCTGCATGTCTTTTTTTCTGTGTGTGTTTGAGTTGTGTTTTTACTGTTCCCAAAATATAAAAACATATGCTGAAAATATTGCTTTTTTTTTTCTTTCATCATCAATATTAAAATCAATAAATGGAGATATATCAATTTTGACAATTTTTTTAATACATACTAATCTGACATTTGTAATAATATAATAAAAAGGGATCTTTTTGAATGAAGTTACTTAAGACTAAATGCAGCAACAACAAACAAAAATGACTTTTTGGTCAACTCAAAATATATATTTACTGTGTATTTAACTTGTAAATTTTGAATACACACAGTATTGTATATTCAAAGTTCACAAGTATATGCATTGTAGAACAATATTCTAAAAAATTCTGTTATAAATTTGATATTTTGCAAATGGTAACTTTTATATGTTAAAGAAGCTTATGAAAATATTCAATAATAAATTTTTCAGCTATATTTTTCTGGGCATGTATTTGTATATACAGCATACAGATGTAAACGAGCATGATAAATTGTTCTGATCTGTTGATATCTTTTGTTCAGACAGATGTCATTTTTTATGCAGTATGTTTCAATGACTATTTTATATTTTTCTTTTGTTTTGATTTTTATTTTAACTCAGATTTTATAAACTTGTTGATTTTTAATTTTTTTTTTTTCTTTTGTAGCTTGTTGAACAATGTCTCATTTTGGAACCACAAAAAATCCACCATGGGCTCGACAAGGTGAGTGTACTTGCTTGTCTATAGACTCAGAAACAGGAAAGATATGAATTGTTTAGCATAATCATCTTTTCTCTGCTCTGGTAAAACACCTGTCTTGACTGTTTTAAATTGCAAACAAGCTAAAACCATTAACATTCCAAACCTTCTTTTTGCAAAGAAACCATTTGCTTCATTTTGTCAGCTGATAAAAATAACAGGTCTGAATTGTTAAGCAGAATGCTCAATATCAGAAGTTGGCATTATTTAATATTAATAGCATGAGATTGGATTATTTACATCTGAATCCATAATTCCACTGAGGGTCAGAGTGTAGTATCTGTGCACTCTGTGAAATGTATTGCAGACAATTGATACATATTTTATATACGTGGAATTACAAACATAATTTAACCACATAAATAATTTCATTATTTTTGACAGGTACTCTGCTACTTGTATACACACACACACACACAAACTGTCAGTCATTTTATTTATTAATTTCACAATTTTTTAAAAATAAATAAGACAAATATTCTCTTTAAATTAAAATCTTTTGGTTTTACAGAATTTCCACCAGTCCTCATAAGGAGCTCTGTTTTATATTAATTTTGGTTGTTTTCTTCATGACTAATCTTTTATTTGAAGAGTGAGGAAAAGTTCTCAGTCTGACCAAGAAGGATCTCAAAAAAAATTTTATTCTTGATCCTTTTGGGAAGTGTGTCAGGCTGAAAAAATTTCAGCATCTAAAAGAATTCTTTTAAATTCTTAAAAAATAAAAAAAATTAAAAATCTCAAATCTAATAAAACAAAATATGTAAAAGGCACTGTATTAACAATTTGCTCTCATTGTTATGGCAACTTATAAGGTTACCATAACAACGGAATATCTCATAAGTGAAATCAAATGAAATAATCAAATATTTAAAGTCACATTGTATTTTCTGTTATATAGATGTAAAAGATAAAGTATAGTAATAAATAATACTTCACTTAGAAAAAAATAGAAATTATTTTGAAATCTTCCTTTTTTTTTAATCACATATAATTCTATATATTTATGTCACATGAATAAGTACGGTTATAAATTTTCCAGCATGCAGTTGAAATCCTTAACCAGAGCATCCAGTCAGCTTCAGACTATCCTTGATCCTTGTTAGATATATAACTTTGGTATTAGTCTTTCTACTGTTGCTTCTGTTGCAACATTGGCAAATCAATGAATACAAAAAAAAAAAAAGTCAAATTATATTTCATTGGTTTTTTTTACAGCCCACTTCAGAAATAAAATGTACTGGTATTTATTATGTAATGTATAAAATTAATTTTAGAACTTTTAAATTTTGCTTTGGAAATAATTAAATTCATTTTTCTAAAACTGTCACAAAAATGTCTTTAAATTTAGGCTCTTAATTGCAATTCTTATTTTACTGTACACATTTCTCTTTGATATGCAAAGATTTCTCTGAGAACTCTAGTTGAAATACCAATGTTATATTTATTAGTAACAAAAGATTTTGATTGCAAAGCTAAAAGCTGTTTCATACAGTCTTGTATTTATAAGATTGATAATTTATAAAGTAGCTTACATATCTTACTCTGCATTGGAAGAATAATGTTGTTTATTAAATAATCTAGATTTATCTTAAGTACATGGATTAGATGTAATTTGATTGTTGATAAATAATAGACTAATTAACATTAGATTAATAATTATCTTTTACTGACCTTATCAAAGATTGGGTCTTTTTTAATATTGTTTAATAGTTAATTCTAGCAGGATTATAGAAGGTTAGTAAAAGCTGTGTTGAAATCTAGCATCAATCTATCATCATGTTAGAAATATTTGTAAATCTTCAATTTTTGATAAACCTATATCCTACAGTTCCTAATATGATTTGACATTTTTATAAATATTAGCACTCTTTGTTAACTGCACCTTTCTACTATTTTTGACTCTTACTAACAGACAGCATATTTAATATGATGTATACAAATTAGTATTTGCTTGCTTAAAGTAGTATGCTATATTATTTTTACTTAACCTCTGTGTCATAAACAAACCTGGAGAAAATATTTCCTTTTACAAGCAACAGAAATTTGACTCATTTTTTTTTTTATTTACACACCACTCCCTGCACTTCTCTTAACCTGGAGCATGGAAACTTGAAAATAAATATGGACTTCTATTAGAAAAAAAATTTGAACAGTTGTTTAAAAATCTTGTGTGTGTATGTATATATATATATATATATATATATATATATATATATATATATATATATATATATATATATATATATATATAGTCAGTTCAAATTTCAAGAACATATAAAGAGGAAAAGAAGGCTTAGAAAATTTAACACTCACTGGACATATTGAAGGCAAGAGGGAAAGAAATATATAATGCATAACTTAACTAACAAGCTAGTGTAAATAGATGGCAAAACCTGTATTAGAGAAACTAAAAAGATAAAGCTTTACTAAGAGCTGCACAGGGCATGAAATTCTGGAAAGCTATTCACACCCACACCCTGAATGTGCATCCTTTTGTCCCATTTGCCTTTTTATTAAAAGCAATAAATGATCTGCAATAAGATCATTGTCAAAAGAATCATAATATTAACAATCTGGCATAAGAAGAATTGACGATTAGTGACATTAATGATATATTTAGTGCCAAAACAGTACAAGGTCAAATAAATAGAGCACTTGGTGAATAATAAACTCATAAGCAATGAACTTTTTGAATAGTACTTTAGCTGTAATTTCACGTATTCTAAAAATTTTCACCAAAAGTTAAGATAAGTTTTTCATTCTCCTCAATTATCCAACAATTTATTTCTCAAAAATTTTGAAGAATAATTTAGATTATTTATGTTTTTTATACATTGTTTCCCACCATTTTGAGTTACTAAAGAAAGTTACTCATATACCTAGACACATGCATGTAGTAAATAATAAACTTACATTTTAATAACTAGTCACTATCTTGTAACAAAACATTTAGACAAATTTTTAATGAATGAAAAGTGCAAAATTTGATTAGAGTTAACTAGGAACATGCACAATGCATAAATTTTGTCTGCTGATATCATTTTAATGTGCAGTTTTTAATACTTATACATTTCATAACCAGAAATATTTGTGTAAGCCACTTATAAATTAATCATAAGTCTTTTTTCCTGCATCCCATAGAGCATAAAGAAAAAAAAAAAACTAAAAAAACAACTATGATTAATCTAATCATTGTTTTATATTGTTTCAATTAATCTGAATAATTTTCAAGATAACTTGGTGAAAAATTAGTTTTTTTTTTTTTTTTTTTTTTTTTTTTTATCAAATCTCGTATCACTGACAACTACTGAGTCTTCTCCAAGCTGCCGCTTGCTAGATATATGGTAATTAAAGCATATTAGCCAAGTAATCAAACTGAATGTTGAAAAACTAGAACAATTGGCCACACTGGTCTTATTTGACTGCTTTGTGCTAGAGAACAAGTTGACATTTTTGTTTAAGGAACTTGTTACACAAGGAGTGGTTCATGACTTATCTCATGAAGACATAAGTATTTAAATAATCTTCTAAACAAAATATCTGGGAAGTTATCTGAAAGTTGAATCAATGCCCTTAGTTGATTTATGTACTTCTGAAATTGTAGAAACATTTTACAACAAAACTGATTAGTATACCAATTATTAACTTTTGGGTTTTTCATTCATTTATTTTTGTGTATGCATTATCTCTTTCTCTCTTGCATAAACATAAGAAAATGTGTTTGTTAACTGTCTTTAACTGGTTTTAGTATATAAAATCACCGACCTTAACTGTGAGTAGACTAATAGGTAAAAAAATGTTTGATAAACATATGTAAGTCAGTCAGTTATGTGCCATGCATGATACATGCTTATGTGATTGTGTATCTTTCAATACATAACAGATGAGGCAGACTTTTTCTTGCAGTAGATTACCATTTCTTTCTGCAGTAAACCAGTTGCCATCTAAGGCTATAGAACCCGGTCTGTCTCACTATTTAACATAGCATTTAAGAAGAGGATTCATACCTTTCGAAAGGGTATTAGCATGTGAGTGAATGTAATGGATTCAACTGAAATTTGAACTCAGTTCTCCAATTCCTCATTCCAAGCCACTATCCATTACTCCACCATGCATATAAGTAGTCTGTGTTAAAGCAGCAAACTGATGACCAAGTATTCTAAAGTTCCATTCTCACCATATTGATGGATTTATTGTCTAGAAGAAAGGAAAATAGCTTTTTCAGTTCTAGTATAGGTTCAGAAGCACTAAATGTTAACAATACAATTTCTCATTCTTAAAATAGTTTCATTTTTAATTTTAGACATGAACCACCAGGCTTTGTTTGCATGATATTGAATCTTTTTTTTTCTCTCTCTCTTTTAAAGAATATTTTAAATGATTGATTAATTGATGTTTGGTGTTTTTGTTGAATCAAGGAGTGAACACTTTTCATGTTAAAGTGTTTTAGTTAAAATTTCTCTTTTTTACAAACTGTAGCACGGAACCTGCTCCAGAATTTTGATAAAAATTCCCAATTTGACTTATATGCAAATCTGTTGAAATTAGTAACTATTTTGATCAAGACTTCGTAATGTAGAAGCATTTTATTTTGTAAAAAATTAAGCCTTTTTTGTATACAATTTACAAAGAACAATAATTCTACCAATGAATGTCTTTTTTGTAGAATATATAGTACTGATTATACAAACAATTATGTAATACTGATGGTACATCAATTCTTGTGTATTTTTATACTTAGTAACTGCATATTGAAATAAATTCAAAAGGTTGAAAATCTTCTAACAATATGAATTCAGTTGTATCAAGAATTCAAGATTCTGTCCTATCAGTTGATTTTAGACTTATGAAAAATATTGCATTAGAAACACAAGTTTAAGCAACATCAAGCTTGATTGTAGCAGGAAAAGATACATTAAAAATTGCCTCTTCTTGCAGATTATATTCATAACAAACACTGTCAC